TGGAGATCGAGAAGAGTCCAATGTGTGAGTCTGCGAGTACTGGGCGTGGGTAAGTCTGGATACAGGCGGGCCTGGTAATGAGTGCATCTGGCTGCGAGTGGGTACGAGTGGCTCCGACTGTGAGTGGAGTCTTAGTATGGATGATTATTGCGACAAGTGAGTACAAGCTCTTGCTTTGAAACTGCATACGAGAGATCAAAAGCATGCACATAATAAAGGAGTGCGGGTAGGAGGAAGAGAGGAAAGGCGGCGGAGGTACCAAGCTGACAATTAGAACATCATACTTGGAAGATGGGACAAGACCTGGAGGTGCGAACCCGTCACAAGCGTAGATGCGATGGAGGTGCAGGGCAGAACTGCGATGTCGAAGCTGCAAGTACGGCATCACGCATGGTGCAGCGTAAGAGGAGTACACAATGCACGTTACATGGCCTGTGTCGATCCACACGTTTTGCTTGTGTTTGGTACGGCCAGGATCGACCATGCAACGGCCTCGGCGTCAAGAAGCCATCCCTGGTCTCCACGTCGTGACAAAAATGATGGCGCCGAGGGCCTAGAGTTTCCTTCTACCCCTTCAACAGAAAACGCGAACCTCTGCGCTGATGATCATTCCGAGGGTGCGGAAGCCAGGAACGGCACCCAACGGCCTGAGAGAGAGTGATGATGCTGCCCGTCATTGGTAGTTCACGCTCATGGTGCCTGGCGCCCGTGGTGGGGCAAGAAATCCATGTGCGGTGACTGCATGCCGTGGCGGGACACCTTTTGCGAGCACGGCGATGAGGCTCCAGTCCGTAAAACACACAAGCCCCGCAGTGCCCGCGCAGTTCCTTGCAGCAGTCCGTGCGGCGGCGGCCGCTTCACGGCGACGCCTCTCACGACACCTGCCGGGCGACCGCAGATCAACTGATTACCGCCTCCGCCTCCTCCTCCTCCTTTCCCTCCCTCCTTCCCTCCTCCTCCTCCTCCACCACCTCCTCCTCCTCCTCCTCCCCTTTCCCTCCCTCCTTCCTCCTCCTCCTCCTCCTCCTCCTCCTCCTCCTCCTCCTCCTCCTCCTCCTCCTCCCCCTCCTCCTCCTCCTCCTGCTCCTCCTCCCCTCCTCCTCCTTCTCCTCCTCCTCCTCCTCTTCTTCCTCCTCCTCCTCCTCCTCCCCCTCCCCCTCCTCCTCCTCCTCCCCCTCTCCTCCTCCTCCTCCTCCTCCTCCTCCTCCTCCTCCTCCTCCTCCTCCTCCTCCTCTCCTTTCCCTCCCTCCTTCCCTCCTCCTCCTCCGCGCCCTCCTGCCCTGCACGCCTCGTACCGTGACGCCCACCCACTGCGGCAGCAGAGCCTATAGGCAGCTGCACCCATGGGACGCACAGGGACCCACTGGTACTACGTCGGGCCTGTCCCCCTACAGGGGGATTTTCGACAAATAATAAAATATACCCCCCCAAATACAAACAACACATAGCAAACAAAGTACTCAACAAATCGTCCCCAGGCTATTTTTAGACTATTTGTTTCGCTATGTTTGGGGTATCTTTTATTTGCTGTCGAAAATCCCCCTGTAGGGGGACAGGCCCGACTTAACACTGGTACGCTGTGTCCTCCTCGGAGGCGCGCGTGAGACCCGATCATTCCCCAAGCAGTGCTTGCACTGAAGGGGTCCTGGCGGAAATCGAAAGACATGGCGAAACTTTCCCGCCGATGTTGGTAGCCGGCTGGGTTCCTGGGTTCCCGGTTCCGGGTTTCTGGTTATTCTTTCTGGACCGTTTTCGGTGGGTTCCGGGTTCCCCCCTCCTGGTCGATCTCCTTATCGATCTCTTGATCGACCCCACGATCCATCAAACCATCCACTTTTTTAAACATCAAGGGGCCGATCAATCCTTGAGTCAGGGCGACCTCCACCACCGCTCTGGTGTAACATAGCATACCCATCTTGTAGTAGATCGCTTCCCGAGCGGTGTGGCCAGGAAGCGCCCGCCACGACGCATGTACTTTTCTGAGTCCTCGGTGCGCGCGTCGCCCCCGGGGAGGCGACGCACACATCGTACTCGCATGCTGGGGTGACGCCGAACACCGCTCACGACTGGGGGGGCCACGCCGGAGAGGCCACGGCGGGCCACCGATTCTCCGAACGCGCCCGTGCTCCCTTACGGGGCGGTGGCCGCGCTCACGGACGAGCTGCGCACTCAGCGGTGGACAAGCCTCCCTTTAGCAAACCTCCCCGTAGGGAAAACGGCCTGGGACCGAAACCGACGGACCCGGACCCGCAAAAATGACGGCCGCGAGGCCCTCTCGCGAACCGAAAACGGCCAATGCCTGAATCGACGTGTCAGGGTACGAGGTCTACAAACCTGCGACGCAAGGAAGCTCGACCATGCCGAGCCAGACCCGCAGAGGGAGCCAACACGAGACGGACAGCCGACCCTCGCCCGCCAACCTTACCCCGCTGACCCTGCCTTCACACGCAGGGGACCCATGCGAGGATGTCAACGCAGATACTACGTGCTTGAGCGATGAAGGCAAGATGCGGCGTTGCTCTAGCCTCGTTTCGCTAAAGTGATTCTAGCAGCAGCGCAGACGGACCATCGCAGAGCCCGGCGAAGGGGACGGGGAGCCCCGCGGACCGCCCAGTCCAGCACCCGTTCCGCCGGAGACGTACAGTGAAACCGCATCTTAAGGATGGGTGGCAAGGACGCAAGACCCTTGGAGGCCGAAGTTGGGATTTTTGGCGACGGGCGACCAGCGAAAACGGCAAAGGACGGGCCGCAGTGGCAAGGACGCAAGGGTACCCTAGAAAAGGCGCGCGTCCTTACTATGCGCGTTGACTGGTCTCCCAATGCATTCAGGCTTCGTGCTCTCACCTCAATGCCGGCTACATGTTTGGTCCGACGGCCACGGTTCCTGGTACCAAAGACACGCTCGGGTGCGCATGGCCGTGCCTCGACCTCCGGCTCCTCGGCCCGCCTGTCCACCTCTGCTGCACGCAATTATGGGTGCCCCCTGCTGGTGCCAGTGCACCCCCAAGTGTTGGCGCACTCCGTGGCTGCTGCGCGCGTCCTCCCATGACCCGATGGGCCTTCTCCCTCTACTCTTCTTCCTCCTCCTTCTCCTCCTCCTCCACCTCCTCCTCCTCTTCCTCCTCCCCCTCCTCTCCCCCTTCTTCCTCCTCCTCCTCCTCCTCCTCCTCCTCCTCCTCCTCCGCCTCCTCCTCTCTCGCCTGTTGCCTGGTCGGCTGCCGCCCACGGGCGCCTCGGAGGGCGCCCCGCGCGCTGGGTGGGCGCGCCGAGGCTTCCCCCGACGTGCCCGCCCCCTGCCGCCCGGGGGGTCGCCTGATGTGCGCCGCTTGTGGGCGACCGCCTGCGGGCGCCCGCAGGGCGTGCACCACGGAGCCTGCACGGCGTGGGCACCGGAGCGGACGAGGACGAGGCAGCTCGACGTAGCGGGCATCGGCCGCTCGTTTGTTCGAGCACCCTGCATCGAAGCCATCGTGATCTGGACGCCGACGCCGCAGAACCTGCAGTCAGGTGGGTCTTGATGGCAGTGAAGATTTAACGACAACGAGGAGGACGACGACGACGACGACCGTCGGACCGACTCAGGACGACGACCGACGAACGACGATTAGCGACAACGGCGAACCACGGCGACGGACGAGAAATAACGACGACGACGGCTGGGGGCCTGAGACGGGGTCCGTCTGGGGAGCTGGGGAGTGTTCAGTCGAGGGTGCTTTCTGGTACATCTGGGGTTTATTCGCAATTTATTCGGATTCATTTGGTCCCCATATATTTATAACTAAAAACGAAGCCCTCTTCTCCAGGCGGGGGGGAAGAGGGGGAGGCGGGGACCGCGTCCTCGAAGCGCTCCCTTCTAGAATTTTACCGGGCCCGCGCGTTCTAGAACTTGACCTCGGCCGTTCACGGTCGGCCTTTTTGGCCTTCTCAAATTTTACAACGGCGTCCGTCGGTGTCATCGGTCCTCGTCGTCGGTCGGTCGGTCGGTCCGTCCATCATTGTCTTCGTCGTCGTCGTCGTCGTTCGGTCGGTCGGTCTGTCGTGGTCGTCCGTCGGTCGTCGCCGTCGGTCGTCGCCCTCGTCGTTCGGTCGTCGATGGTCGGTCGGTCGGTCGGTCGGTGGTCGATGCCGTCGTCGTTGTCTGATGTCGGTCGCCGCCGTCGGTCGACGTCGTCGTCGTCGATCTCTCGGTCGGCCAGTCGGTCGGTCGTCGTCGTCGATCGCTCGGCGTCGGTCGGTCAGTCGGTCCGTCCGTCGTTGTCTTCGTCGTCTTCGTTCGGTCGGTCGATCCGTCCGTCGCTTTCTTCGTCGTCGTCGTTCGTCGCTGATTGGTCGTTGTCCGGTCGTTCGGTCAGTCGGTCGGTCGGATGGTTTTTCAACGGCTGTCGCGCGAAGTGGGCAGCTAGAGTCGGCCACGCCTCCACCATCACGGCCCAGACGGGCACACCTCGTCAAAATTCTGACTAGTAAGTGCCTGGCTGCAGGCGGAAATTCATCCTTCGGAGATCGTTGGCAGAGGGCCCAGGGGACAGGATGGACTCGCTTCTCACTCGCCCAATCGATCCGTAGAGCACACATCATGGATTCGGAATGGCCTGGGGGGGGGCAACTTACCCCGCTGCGTCGCCTGCTGCGTAGGAACTGTAAGAGGGTTTGGGTGATCGGGGTTGTTTACAATGGGGCAGGGGCGAGATAGGGTGATCTGTTGAGAAGAAGAGAGAAGCCAGGAGGGAGGCAGAAGAGGGGAGAAGTTGCATTGGATGGAAATGGGGGGAGAAACAGAGGGGAGAGAAATAGATACCAATGGGCTACCCCTCAATCACCTCTAGATGGTCTTGAGATTCCTCTGAGGATTGGTTGTCATTTTTTTGTTTGGTACGGGTGCGCAGCCACTGCCTCAACACGCTCAGACTACATCCCCTCAGTGACCCGCCTCGTCTTGCGATCGTAGTTGTCCGTGGGCGCCGTCGAATAAGCCCGAAGGTGCAATGGCGCATGCCACCCTACGCCAGCTGCAGGGCGTCGAATAACAGCTTCAGCTCATCGAGGACATGATAGTTGTAATGCACTCCGTCGAAGGTGGCATTGCACTGCCCGTCGGTGATGCTGAATGCATCCACGATGCTGGGCGCCTTGCCCTGGAAGCCCCGGTTCGCTGCCAGGAGTCGTTCGTTCAGACGGAGGATGCCTCCGCGCGTGAAAGCCGAATCTACGCATCCCGCTCGCGCGTCTGCGGCCGTGACGCCCTCCCCGATCAGCTCGCTCGAGCAATTCTGCGTGGCCCTCACCGGGTCCTCCTTGTAGTCGGCAACCTCTTTGCCCCACACCCCGGTGAAAAAGTCCTCGCAGATGCAGTGGGAGAGCATCAGGGCAATCCTGGCTGCAGGGGCGACTTCGGAGCACCGCTGGACCGTGGCTGTGTAGGCAGCCTCGAGACCTCGGAACTCCTCGTACCTCTGCCTGTTCCAGTCCAGCCCCCTCGTTGGCACGGAGAAAAGGGTCTTGAGGGAAACGGGTCCTGGTGGACCCCGGGGCTTCCCCTGGGACCAAGGCTTGGTCACCAAGCTTTCTTCCCGAGTGGTTCTCTTTCGGGGGCCGAGAAACTGCATAAGCATCCTCGGGAGCACCCTCCCCTCAGGGCCCCCTTCTCTTGACCGCTGCCTCGGCCCGAGGCCCCGCAAGATGTGCAGGCCAGAGTTCAGGTAGATACCCGTGGGGGCCGGGTAGCCCCAAGAGATCACCTTCTCCACGAAGCCCGGCTCCATGGGCTCCCACGTGTGGTACAGGAACGCGGCGCCGATGGTTTAGATGCTCGTTATGGGGCCCTCCCCGGGGCCACTCGGTCTACCCACGTTCCGATGCTGCGTCAACTTGAGCCGAAATTAAGTCGACCGTGAATCGAACTAGGGTCAGACTAGAATCGAACATAGCCATCAGGTGGGCCCAGAAAGGTCACCCAAACGAGCATCTAAGATGGTGGAGTTGCAGAAGTTTCTCGACGCGACCTTGTGGTTCTCCTCAAGCCTCATGATGGCGCCACCCTCGGGGTTCGGGTCGGCGATTTCCTCGCCGCTGCTGGCCGAAATGATAGAGCAGAAGGCGAGCCACTGGTTGCGCATGGTGGAATCGCCGAAGAAGTAAATTACGGGCGCGGACGGCTGCTTCGCCAGAATGTCCCGAAGCGGCTTGTAAAGGTGGGTGTTGCCGTCTGCAACAACGATGGCATGCCGCTTGAGCTGGGCACCGGGGACAGTGGCCTCCTCGCTCCCAACGTGGGTGTCTAGCACAAGCGACTGTGCAATGGAGGCGCAGATTAGCCAGATTGCCGCTCTGGGTGTGCTGGCGACGGTGCTACGGAACATATTCGATGTCGGGATGGATGTTCAAAAAATGGTATGGCCCGTGCCGCGGGACGTTTGAGCCAAAACGGCTAAGCGGAAGGTCTTCCTCGTCCTGGGAAGGCATCAACAGGAGATGACATGACAAGGACGAGGAGTACCGTACGATGATGAGGCGAAGCATAAGACGAAGACCGCCCAACATAAGACGAAGCCAGGACGAAGATAGCACTTGGTGAGGACGTGCAATCGAGAATCCCTGAGATCCAGCGGCCCTGGGGGAGGAGGAAGAGGATGCGGAGGAGGAGGAGGAGGAGGACGAGGAGGAGGAGGAGGAGCAGGAGCAAGAGGAGCAGGAGGAGGAGGAGGAGCAGGAGGAGGAGGGGGGGGGAGGAGGCGCACGGGGCAGGCGGGATAAAGAATGATGGGTGGCAGTGGAGGCCTTCCTTCGGAGGGGCAGATCCGATGGAGGGGGAAGGGGAAGAAGAAAAGAAGGAGGAAGGGCAAGCTAGGTTTATGTCGGGCATGTCCCCCTACAGACAGATCTTGCAGGGATAATAAAACACACTCCTAACATATCAGAAAATGGTCTAACAATAACGGAAAAAGCGTCCCCAGACTACTTGTGTATCATTTTTGGATTTTCCTCCTGTAGAGGGACACGCCCGACTTAAAGCTAGGAGCGCGCGCGCCATATCTGACATCTTACCCCAAATCCTTGATTGATCGTCCCCCGGGTCCGGTTTTTTAAGGCGCCCTTCTTGTAACTGGGGGGTGGTCGGTTTGTTAGGGCGCTTTCTCTAAGGCGTCCCGTCGAAGTAGGGGGTCCGGAATATTAGGTCGCATTTGGAGGGGGGTCTGGTTTCTTGGGGAAACGATTACTGAGCATTTTCTTATGGTGGAGGGCTCAGGGTGAAATCCATATGGGCCTCTACACCTCGAAAATCAATCAGTTTTGTGGTTCGCCTTTTGCAGCTTGAAGCTTCGAAAATCCATCGCAACGGCATTTCAGCTTTCACCCTTTGCCCTCCACCAAAAGAAACTGCCAGGGATTAGCGAGGGACTTGGAGTACCCCTCCCCCGAGTTCCTTCCCGCGGCGCTGCTCGCTTCTCCGTCCGCGGGCGCGGGTCACAGCGGGCCCGGAGATTCCAGGAAAGGGCCCCATCGCGCGCGCAATCTTAAGTCGGGCCTGTCCCCCTACAGGGGGATTTTCGACGAAAAATCAAAAAATACCCCAAGGATGGTCAAAAGTACTCCAAACATAGTTCGGGGGCTATTGTTTGAAAATGTTGTAACCTTTTTGGGGCAATTGTGGGGTATTTTTCGTCAAAAATCCCCCTGTAGGGGGACACGCCCGACATAAGCGCAATCGTCAACGGGGAGCTGCACACAGTGCAGGAGGAGGAGGAGGCGGTGGATGAGCAGGGAGATGAGCAAGAGGAGAAGGAGCAGGACGAGGAAGGGGGAGGACGAAGATGAACAGCAGCGGCAGAAACTAGAGCAGAAGGAGCGGGAGGAGCAGAAGGATCACGGGAAGGCGGAGGGAAAACGAGGGCGGCGACACCGATGAAGAAGGACTCAGATCCAGAAAAGGGGCCCGCACTGGGGCGAGAGCGCGATTTTGAAAACCTGGGCCGGCACGGAAACGGAAAGAGCGCTTCAGAAACAGAAACCGAAATTACTCACACCACCGTTCGTACTGGGAGCCTTGGCGTTGAGAGCTTGTTACGTCACCCCTCGCTCTTGGGAGCTGTGGTGTTCAGAGATTGTTGCGTTGCCGCCCGTTCCTGAGCCTTGGCTGGGCCTTGGTGTCAGGAACTTGTTACGTCACCGCTCTCTGCTGGGAGCCTTGGTCTTGTCAGCTTGTTGACGTCACCGTTCGCTCTTGGGAGCCTTGATGTGAAGAGCTTTTTGCGTTACCGATCGCTCTCTATTTGGCGTCTCTGGGCCTTCTTGGGAGTCCTTTGGGCCCCTTGTCGGGCCCTTCTGGAGGCCTCCTGGGAACCTCTTGGGGGCCTCTTGGGGCTTCTTGGGGGGTTCTGGGGGCCTCCTGGGAGCTTCTTGGGGCGAAAGGCTAGACTTTTCGGTTCGTGGTCCCCCTCTTGGGGCCGTCTTGGCGCCCTCTTGGGCCGTCTTGGGCGCCTCTTGGGCCGTCTTGGGGCGGTCTTGGGGGCCTCTTGGAGCGTCTTCAACGCAGTGAAAACCGAAAAGCCTTGTATGCTAAAAATGTACTTTTTCCATAGGAATCAATGATTTTCGCCTCCCGGTGGCCTCTTGGGACGCCTCTTGGGGGCCTCTTGGGGCTTCTTGGGGGGCTCTGGGGGCCTCCTGGGAGCGTCTTGGGGCGAAAGGCTAGACTTTTCGGTTCGTGGTCCCCCTCTTGGGGCCGTCTTGGCGCCCTCTTGGGCCGTCTTGAGCGCCTCTTGGGTCGTCTTGTGGGGCCCTCTCGGGCCGTTTTGGGGGCCTCTTGGGAGCCTCTTGGGCCGTCTTGGGGCGGTCTTGGGGGCCTCTTGGGCCGTCGTCAACGCCGTGAAAGCCGACAAAGCGCATATGCTAAAAATATACGTTTCCCTTGTGGGAAATCTATGATTTCGGCCTCTTGGGGCCCTCTTGGGACGCCCCTTGGGCGCCTCTTGGGGGCCTCTTGGGGGCCTGTTGGGCAGTCTTGGGCGGTCTTGGGCGGTCTTGGGCTCTCTTGGAGCGCTCTTGGGGGGGAACCCGAAAAACATGCAAAAACACAAGGGATAACCCGAATACTGCCATTAACACCCAAGTGGGCACGCTACCCCCCTCCCCTGGAACCCCTCCCTTGAGGGCTTCGCCCACACCAGAGCGTCATCACTCGTACCTCGCTCTTTCCGTTACCAGGAGCAAAGCGCCGATCCGAAAATGAGGCCCCCGCTGCAGCGGTAACACCACTTTGAAACACCGAAAACAATCGGATTGAAAAAACAAATGGAGAAGATCACCTTGTGCAATCCTTTGGGAAGACAGACGCGGAGGGGGTGGTAGACCTCCTGCGAGCAGTCAAGGGAGAGAGGAGAGTAGCATTCAGATTGTGCCATTGTAAAGAATAGTGGAGAGGGGACGCAGCGGAGGCTCAGGAGGTACGGCACGAAGTAGTGCCGAACATCAATGGCGCGTGCAGGATCTGCTCTGGCGGCACTACCCCCCGCAAGCGGATCCGCCGTGGTCACTCACCAGCGAAGCGCCGAAGGGGGGAAGTGACAGGGGGAAGCCCTTCTCAGGAGGCGGCGGGTTTCGCAGAAGACGCCTGGCCTTCTCAGAAGGCGCGCCCGCGGCTTCGGAGAGGGCCCCGAAGGCTTCTCACAAGGCCGAGCCTGCTCAGAAGGCCCGCCCCTGCTGCCTTCGCCCCCCCCCGGGGGGCGCGCCACCGAGCGTCTGCAGAACGCCGCGAGTGGTTACGGCGAGGGCCCTCGACCGATGCAGCATGGACTGCTTACCAGACTATCAGACCGCCCCAACCCAACCCGAGGACCCGAGCTTCGCCCGAATTTCGGGTGGGGTGGGTGCGTACGGGCTTCCTACGTGTGCTTTCTTTTGTCCATGATCCCCGACCCCCCACACTGGAAATGGAGGGCAGATCGGGGCCTTCGGGTTGGGTTGGGGTGGTTTGGAAGGCGGTGAAGCACGGCCCCTGAGCCCGACAGGAGGCCAGAGGCGCCAGTTGCGATAGCCAGTCGCAGCGCCCCGATCGGAAGGCTCCTCCTGCTCCAGAGCGAAGAGCGCAACGCAGCGCGCCGCTAGAGGTCCGCGCGGGCTCCTCGGTGCAGTCAGCACTGGATCCCCTTCCCTGGCGCCAGGGGGGGATCCAACGACGACCCCGCGCGAACCTCGGAAAATTGGTGTTTCTGTACACGGGCATTCGACTCAAACCCGAACATCCAATCCGCTTCGAGTCCGCGTCGAGTCCGCGACCAATTCGCATCGAACCTTCGCCGCGTACAGGGGAGCATGGCCATTTGCAAGACAGACAAGGCATCACCAATGTGCATCGCAACCCTATCCTGCTCGCGTTTGTCCGCCACCGAGAGCCCCAGAAGACTCGATCCCTTCCCCAGGCCCCTTTTTTCATCATCCCGACTCGCGTGTGGACTGCCCTGGCGTCGAAGAAGCAAGACGTCCCTGAAGAGTGAGCATTGCCGGATCCGTTCAGAAATGCTCGGCTCAAGACGCGCGGTCACCGTTTTTTTGGAGGATTCCGCTGGGGGCCCGGGCGGGGGAGATGGCCCGGCCGATGACCTGACTGCTTCGCCCCGGGCAGCCCCCTCGCAGTGCCCGCGCCACCCGAGCACAGCGCACCCCCTTCGGACCTGCGCAGCCGCGCCGGGTCATCCTCAGGTCGGGCATGTCCCCCAACAAAAAGAATGAGAGATAGTCAACAAAAAGAGGCCAAGAAGGATTC